ACGCGTTGCCATACCCTAAATAATAGTATATTATGCGGTAAACGGTATTTGATTCACGAGTTTATTTGACATGAGCGGAGCGAGTGTTTAATAAACGAATGTGTTAAAAAGTTTACCGAACGTGTTGCATACTATACTTTTTCTACGACCGTTAGTTTTTGGGTACATTTTTGCAAAACTTCACGAATACGTTCACTGACATAACCTTCATGATTGACAAACGTCAAAATTCAAGGCGTGGGAAATATCTTCGAAAACATCTGATTGCTTCCAAATCTATAATTATAATAATGTCTAATGTTTAGATTGCGCAAGTTACTCTATATACTTTAGTGCAGATTGTTCGCTAAGATGGTGGATGTTTAATATGCCAGAGTAAAAAATGTTTTTCTACGCGCTACCCTAAAATAAGTTTATCAGTTCTGACGCTAATGTCACACGTCACTCAGTGGACGTATTCATTTTGGAAGAATGTACCCAAAAAGTCTACTTGGATAAAGTATAGTATGTATCACTGCTTCAGTCATTCCTGTAGTAGATAGTCGCTCCAGTCATGCCAAATTAAAATTTTGATCAATGTGGCGTCTATAAAAATTGATGCGTAATATACTAAACTACAGCAAGCAGGAAATTAAGAAATATGTGTCCACTACAGGGCATTTCTGATTGGAAGTATATTGATTACCTTATGCCTTTCATATATTTCGGTTTAGATCAAGACGCGGAAACAGACACTACGAATTTATTACGCAAGCCAAACGAAGTTTTGATATACAGAAAAGGTAATCAACGTTATGAGCTACTTCCGATATTTTAACGAGTTTTTTTTTCGGATGATACAGCACGTAATGGGACTAGACAATTTTTTCAAAGCAATCCAGCAATACGTGATGAAATTGTAAGTATCTAGATTCAGATTGCAAGCTAGAAATCGATCTATACGTCAGTGACCTATTGTGTCTCTGTTCATAGTAATAGAGCTTTATCTTTAATTACAGTAAAATCCCTGTCAGTGACCACTCTTTTCAAAAACTGCCCATAATAACGACCGTGTCAAGATCTCTTTTAAAAAATTTGATATGCGACAATGTAAAAACAATTCTCGACTGTAACAACAATAAAATGTTCGTGAATACCGAATATGCCAGCCATCTGGGCTATTAGATTTAAATAGCATTTTTTTTGTGCGCTAGGAAATTATAAGAAAAATTTATTGCTGGGAGACTGAAGTTACATTGTTGTTACAAATTGATGAAAAAGCTTAAAATTTGTATCGAAATGATAGCAACTGTGATTAAAAAAAGAAATTTTTGCAAAAACCAGATTTGCTGTGAACCAGACTGATTTTAATTGATTTTATAAGGCTCGAAGCATGCAATTACGAATATCGGAGCCCATAATTCAAGCAAAAGTCTTAGAAATTGCACAGAAGTAAGTGACTTCAATCTGTGGATACTTGAAAGAAGAGAGTTCACTCCTATGATGCAGACTGTATTGTGTACTCTACTATGGCTAATAGAAACATATACTTTAAAAAATAGGTGTTTTGGAAAAATAATTAAAACAGTAAAGTGAAACCTTTTATGAAAAGTCCAGACAGACGAGTAAAAATCCTCCATGAAGACACCAATAGTGTAATTCAAAAAGCATGTTTATATTACAAAATGCCGTTTATGGACCACATAAAAAAGTGTGAATTTTGTCAGTGAAAAGTATAACTTTTACTGCAAAGCGATGCTGGTGACTAAAGTACTTGAGAAGATGTAACTTTTTTTTGTTAAACCCTCATTATTTTAGTACCTTTGACCCTGGAATAATAAAATCTTGTCACAATCTGGTACGCCCCACTTAGTTGTCGATAACTGAGAAATTCGGATGTTTTGCCTTGGCGCTATTAATTATATTTACCTGCATATTATTTTTTTTTATTTGTCTATATGAAATCGAAAAGAAGTCTTGTTTATGCATATTGTTGGTTAGTTGCATATTGTTGTTTTGGTTTGGAATATTGGTTTTTAGTTAAGTTACTTAAAAATTTCAAGCTACAAAATTGGCAAATCAGTTTATTCCTAAAAAAAATAATGTGAATCATAACCTAAAAATATCAAACAAAAGGAGTAAACTACTTTTGCACTTTCATATTAAAAGCATAAGGGATTGGAATGGATAAATAACACCATAATCCTTTAACAACTAAATCAAGTTCGTCCGTTCAAATCCGTTCTAACAAGACATGGTTATATACAATATAAAAGGAAGTGCCTGTCTGGTTATATATCGGTCACTATGACCGACTCGCCACGGGCGGTGCTTCGCATTTTTAGACTGTAGCTCTTTCTCGCGACGAAAATCGAATACTCAAGCCGTCTTTCCGGGAGGCGGAATTAAGTGGTACAATGAAACTTTCTTTGTGTTAATATCCGAATCTAATTTCGATTTGTAATTTTTGACAACTACGTTTTCGTAGAAAATTAGAAAGCATTAAAACAATAATTTCTATCATAACAAGATTGCTCCGCTGCGCGGCTTCGTATTTCAGAGAAGCCGCTTCGCGGCTTCTTGTCCTAGGAGAAAGCATTGTTTTTCCATAGTGGTCCGCAAAGTGTAATTTTATTATGCTTGCACCCTGTATAAAGGCTCGTTCATGTCCATCCGAGTTTCAATATCATGGTAAACTTTGTTGAATATAAAACTTTTTACGATTGGATCGAATCGTAGGACACAATATTAAATAATTGCGTTGTTTTCAGAATTCCTCAAAACTCATACAAACCACCTTCAAAATCCAATTATTACGAATTAATGCTCTGAAGATGGCTTCCTCGTCTCCAGCGCATCTCAAAACCTCCGGAATCACCTTCAAATTCCAATTATTACGAATTAGTGCTCTGAAGATGGCTTCCTGCTAAAACGAAACGTCGGACACAATTTTAAATTATTGCATCGTCTTCACCGCACCTCAAAACCCCCGGAACCCCTTTAAGTGCCAATTATTACGAATTTATGCTCTAAAGATGGCTTTCTGCTAAAACGAAACGTCGGACACAATTTTAAATCATTGCATCGTCGTCAGCGCACCTCAAAACCCCCAGAACCACCTTCAAATTCCAATTATTACGAATTAGTGCTCTGAAGATGATTTCCTGCTAAAACGAAACGTCGGACACAATTTTAAATCATTGCTTCGTCGTCAGCGCACCTCAAAACCCCCAGAACCACCTTCAAATTCCAATTATTACGAATGTGTGCTCTGAATATGGCTTCCTGCTAAAACGAAACGTCGGACATAATTTTAAATTACTGCATCGTTTTCAGCGCATCTCAGAACCCCCGGAATTTCCCTGAAAATCTTATTTTACGTTTCGATACCGTTATTATTGACGATGTCATTCCAACGAAAATATATAATGAAATGAGCCTCCGACGACTTGAAAACTGTTTATTTACAAGTAGTGTTACACTTTTACTTTTATAGTCTGAATTACAAGTTTGCTTAAAAATTAATTGGCGGGTCTGTGGCCTGGTGGCTCTGGTGCATTACGTCGGCGGTGTTTCTTGTTAGTGGTTGGGTGGGTGTCCTATGGTGTGTTGCTTCGTGCCGGGTGTTCCTCCTCGTTTGTGCTGTGCTTAATGGTTGTTTCGGGGTCCCTGACCCAGGGCCCTGATGCCTGCTATGTGTGAGTTTAGCGCACTCTCTACGAAGTTTGTGTGTGTCTCTCTTATGTGTTCCGATAGGGGAGGAACCTCCAGCTCACGAGTGATTGCAGAGCCTCCAGCGATTTTGTATTGGAGTTGTCGTTTGGTGCCCAAACCGGCGACGAATAAGTGATCGCCGGTCTGACGACTTGCTTCCATATCCGTGCCTTGGCAGCGATGTTTAATTTACTGGATCTACCAATTACGGGGCGAAGCTTCGACAGTAGGGCACTTCCCTTGACCCTGGCTGCTCTTATCTGGGTTGCCCAGGAAAGCTTCCTATCGAAGATGATGCCCAGGTACTTGATTGAGTTGGCACATTGGATCTTTTCGGCATCAACTAGAATCTTGGCTCTTGGGGTCCTGGTCTTCGTGGTGAAGAGGATCGCTTGTAATTTGTCCGCGTTTATGCGGGTCCTCCATGTGTTAGCCCAGGTTTCTACTTCCTCGATATGGTGCTGTAGGGCTGTGGTAGATACTTCTCTGCGGCGGGAGGTGGATGTGATTGCCGTATCGTCCGCGTATTGGTAAGTCCGTGTTTTGGGGTTTTTGGGTATGTCGAAAGTGTAAAGAGAGTACAGTAGAGGGGAAAGGGGGGATTCTTGGGGGACGCCTGCCATTATTGGGTATTGGGGGGATAGGGAGTCGGATACTTGGACTTGAAAGGAACGGTCCGTGAGGAATGAGAAAATTAATTGGAGGACGTGGATTGGGATTCCCCGGGCGTATAGTTTGTGTAGGAGGCCGTCGTGCCAAACTCTGTGAAATGCTTTTGAGATGTCCCAAAATATGGCTGCCGTGTAGTGTGGCTCCGTTGTTATCGACCAAGGCTTTGAGACCTGTTTCCTGGGGGTTCGTGGTAGTGTGCCCGAGGTCTCGGTGACACGCATTTATTTCGCCTTCCAGGATAGTCGGTATGTCGTCCGTGTATAAAAGTCGTAAGTAGTCGTCCGTTGGGAAAGGTTGCTTCCTCCAGGTGGGACCGGTCTTCATGTGTATTTTGACTGTAATTGTCTCGAGTGTTGTTAGTGTCGGTATTGTGTCTGTTTCGTGAGCGATGGAGTTTCTTACTAGTATGGCTACTCCTCCCCCAGGGCCCGTCGTTCTGTCGAGTCTGTATGTTTTGTAGTTGGGTACGTAGAACTTGTCCCGGGTCTTAAGGAATGTTCCCTGCAGAAGGCATACGTCAATGTCGTGTTCCCTTAAAGTTTCGGTCAGTTGCGTCGTTTGTTGTTGTACCGAGTTGGCGTTCCATGCCATAACGGAGATGGAGTTGGGTCTTCTGGACTTATCCATTGGCGTTGTTAATGGGTGCGGTTGGCGGTTGTGTTTTTCATGATTTCAGCAGGTTGTAGAGTTGAATAACCTGCTGAAGTTGGTGTGCGGGAATGGGTTCGGGATTCGGGTTTGGGGCGGGCGGAGGGGAGGTGACTCCGGCGTAGGAACATCGGCCGGTTGGGATTCGGCGAGGTGGCGGCTGCTGCAGCCTTGACGGGGAGCGGAATCTTGGGTGGCGGTCTTGACGGGCAAATCCTCGCGTTCGCTGTGTGGTCGCCTCGGCAGTTAGCGCAGCGGTCGGGGGTGTTTTTGGATTTTTTGCAGATTTCCGTCCTGTGCCCTGCACCGCATTTTACGCATTTTGGAGGCGCTGGGCATTTGCCCTGATTATGCCCGAAGAGCTACCAATTATGGCATTGCGTAACCTCGTGCCGCTGTTTTAGTGCTTCGGGTTTGATTCATAGGTTAATGAAGTATTGCAATTGATATATGTGTTTTTCCTCTCTTGGGAGGACTACCAGGACAATGCCCATTCGTAACCTCTTATCGTGGACCAAACTTGTCATCCTCCGTACCTTAGACGGGTGGTACCCTAGGACCTGGAGCTCCTCGGCGACGGTCTCCGCGTCAAGAGATTCGGGGATGCCTTTGAGGACCACGTGGAGGTTTCTCTCTTCCTTTAACTGGAAGGAGTGATATGGTATCCGGTTTCCGTCCAGGAACCTCGTGGCGTTGCGGTAATCGGGGGTGCTACTTGGTTGGATCCTTATACCTTCCTCGGTATTCCTGGCTGAAGTATAGTGGATTTGTCGGGTTTTCATGGACGCCGAGACCTGGACCCAGTTTGATTTGGACCTTATGATAACAGGGGGAACACGTTCTTTGGTGTCGGGAGTTGGTGTTGAAGCGGGGGCTGGGTTTGGCGTTGGTTCAACCGGGCGAGTCGGTTCCGGGGGATGTTCTTTGCTTGTCCCTGGTTGTGCCGGGGAAGTCGCGCATTTCGTTGATTGTACTGGGGGATTCTTTGTCTGGCTGGGATTGGCGTGGTAGGGCGGTTGTTTTTTGGAGAGCGGGGGGAATTCCACCGAATTCCTCCTTTTCCTTTGTGTTGCCGGTACGGATGTGTCCATGGGTGTGTCGGGGGTTGATGCCGGGGTGGTGTCTGGTTTTGGGGTTGGGGTGGTGACGGGGTTGCCTACTTTAGCGAGTACCTTGTCTAGGGTTTCCTGTAGTTTCCTGATCATATCCTCCTGGATTTTCTGCGCCTCACGCATTTCATTGATGGTTCTTTGTTGGTCGGCGTTTTGTTGTATCACTTCGTTCATCCTTGAACGAAGGATCTTGTTCTCTTCAGCCAGTTTGCTGCTGTATTCTGCCAAGTCATTGTACGATGGTTTGGCGGGCTTCTTGTTGACGGGGCTGCGAGAATGGTTTCCGTCGTCCGAAGACGCCGGGCTGTCCTCGGGGTCAGAATCTGGATCTTTTCGATCCATCGTGTGGCCTGCCGGTCGGGGTTCCGCTCGGGCGGCTGCTTCTGGGAGCAGATAGATTTTCGCTGTGTTAATCCTTTAATGAGTTTTGTCGCGTTCGAACTTGGATCGATAGCACGCCGATAGTGTCGAACCCCAAAGAAAAAACGATTGTCTCCCTACGCGTTGCGTGTGCGTGTGAACCACCTCTACCGTACCGAGACCGTGATCCTCAAGATCGAAGAGGAGCTGCTATTGGGGCCCCAGTCCAGCGAGACAGCAGCGACAAGAGGTTAGTTCCGTCTCTACCCTCATGTCCACGTCTTGCGGGCTCTTTTTAATAAAAAATTACAGTCCGCTTTAAATTAACCTCAGGGTCGCGACGACCCATTTTGGTCCTGCGGACCACTATGGAACTTTCGCAAAATGTAATTTTATGATGCTTGCACCCTGTATAAAGGGTCGTTCATGTCCATCCGAGTTTCAATATCATGGCAAACTTTGTTAAATATAAAACTTTTTACGAGTAACTGCGATTTGTAGCACTTGATTGGATCGAATCGTAGGACACAATATTACATAATTGCGTTGTTGTTAATTGTTGGATTGGGTCACCGGGTGATCTTGGATCCTGTTGAGTATGATTCTTTCCGCTATCTTACCTAACGATGAAAGGAGGGGCCTGTAGTTGTTGGGCTCCTTTCTTGATTTGTTTGCTTTTGGAATCATTATGATGCGCGCATTTTTACAGGTGTTCGGGAATGATCTTAGTCGAAGGATGGCGTTGACAATGTTTGTGAGTTCTGTGGTCTGTTTATTGGGGAGGTGTTTAAGTGCAGCGTTCGTGATTTTGTCTAGTCCGGGGGCCTTTTTTGGGGAGAGGTCCTGGAGGAGCATCGCGATCTTCGGGGTAGCGAGGCGGAGGTGATCGTTGGTGGGGTAGTCTGTTATTGTTTTCTTTGATTGGGCTGTTGTCGTGTCTGTGGATGGTTGTTTTTTTCTCCTGAGGTTGACCCGAAAACGGTCCCTCAGGTGTTCGGCGAAGAGGTCGCCTTTCTCGGAGTTGGTGTTTGCCGTGTACCCCAGAGTGGTTAGTGCCGGGATGTTTTGCCGGGCGTCTGGGTTGACTAGGGCCTTGGCTGTTTTCCACATTCCGTGGTCCTCGGTGTTAAGGTTTTGCAGTTTCCACTGCCATTGTTCGTTTAGGAACGCTGCAGTTCCTTTTTTGACCTGTAGTGTCAGTCGATTCGCTTCCCTGATTATTTCGGAGTCAAGAGTGGCTCGGGCTCTGCGTATGGTTCTGTTTTTGGTAGTGATGAGTTGTTTTAGATCGTGCGGAATCTTGTCGGTCTTTCGTGGGGTTGTGTAGTTCGGGTGGCTGTGTCCGTTGCTGTTGTGATGTCAGTCGTGAGTTTGTCTATTGCGTTTTGTAGGTCCGTGAAGTTTTCTATCCTCGGTATTGGGCCAGTGGATGAAAGGGCTTTCTTGAAAAGGGTCCAGTTGGTGACTCGTTTACACCTGGTAGGCGCCTTCTTCGTAGAGGTGAGTCCGACATGAAGGATGATGGGCAGGTGGTCCGATCCGAGTTCGTGTAGTGCTTGTATGTTGGTTTGTCTCGAGATGCTGTGTACTAAGAAGTGGTCTAGGTTTGTTGGGTTGCTTCTTGTCGTGTAGTGTGTTGGTTCGGGGGGGGGGGGGTTATGAGTGTGGCTCCGATGTTCTCGACCAAGGCTTTGAGACCTGTTCTTTGGGGGAGGGGAGGTGACTCCGGCGTAGGACATTCGCCGGTTGGGATTCGGCGATGTGGCGGCTGCTGCAGCCTTGACGGGGGGCGGAATCTTGGGTGGCGGTCTTGATGGGCAAATCCTCGCATTCGCTGTGTGGTCGCCTCGGCAGTTAGCGCAGCGGCCGGGGTTATTTTTGGATTTTTTGCATATTTGCGTCCTGTGCCCTGCACCGCATTTTACGCATTTTGGCGGCGCCGTGCATTTGCCCTGATTATGCCCGAAGAGCTGGCAATTATGGCATTGCGTAACCTCGTGCCGCTGTTTTAGTGCTTCGGGTTTGATTCGTAGGTTAATGAAGTATTGCAATTGATATATGTGTTTTTCCTCTCTTGGGAGGACCACGAGGACAATGCCCATTCGTAACCTCCGTACCTTAGACGGGTGGTACCCCAGGACCTGGAGCTCCTCGGCGACGGTCTCCGCGTCAAGGGATTCGGGGATGCACTTGAGGACCACGTGGAGGTTTCTCTCTTCCTTTAACTGGAAGAAGTGATATGGTATCCGGTTTCCGTCCAGGAACCTCGTGGCGTTGCGGTAATCGGGGGTGCTACTTCGTTGGATCCTTATACCTTCCTCGGTATTCCTGGCTGAAGTATAGTGGATTTGTCGGGTTTTCATGGACGCCGAGACCTGGACCCAGTTTGATTTGGACTTTATGATAATGGGGAGAACACGTTCTTTGGTATCCGGAGTTGGTGTTGAAGCGGGGGCTGGGTTTGGCGTTGGTTCAACCGGGCGAGTCGGTTCCGGGGGATGTTCTTTGCTTGTCCCTGGTTGTGCCGGAGGAGTCGCGCACTTCGTTAATTGTACTGGGGGAATCGTTATCTGGCTGGAATTGACGTGAGTAGTTATTCTAACGCGGGACTGTGACGATTCAAGGTCACCGATGGCATATTCCATCAGCAGTGTACCAAAGCTAGTTCTTCGTATGAGGTCATGTAAAAGAAGTAAAGGTCACGCCGAAGAAGTGGAAACTGTCACCATTAAAGTGTACACCTGTGTGACAGGTGTATGGGGACCCCTGGGGTACTACGTCGAGGTGTGACGTCATAGTGCCTTTTTGGCACCTCCCCTAGGGGAAAAATTGGTGTCACTGATTAAAAAAAAAACGATGTCATAGTGCCCGTCGCTAGTGCCTTTTTGGCTATTCCACCCCCCGCAAGGGGTTAGTGCCTTTTTGGCAAACTCACCCCCGGTAAAAAAAGGGGTTCGTAGAAAAAAATAAATTTCGTAGTGCCTTTTCGGCACTACCGGGTGGGGGTGCGAGGTGAGAAATTTTTGAGAGCCGAAAAAAGCGACCGATGTCTCGGGCGGGATTCGAACCTCGAACCTTCGGATAAACGCCGCCGACGCGCTGTTCTCCTAGCCTAACTGGGCCAACATGTTATCGCGTCGTTTATGCGCGCTGCCTAGCCGACGACGATGACTATAAAAGGTCGTCGAGGTCAATACAATTAAATAAATGTGCACCGATAAAATTTATGATTTATTGAAAACATTTACAAAGTATTGACATCCGATATAAATTTTCTAAACACCACAACGTATTTCTTCTATAACGGAGGTAGGGTATGTTCTAAATCCTTGTTTTTTTGGCCCGCTGGTGGTGACGACGATGACGGTGATGGAATAACTTCGTCGCAATATAAACTTATATTGTTCGAACGACTTGTTGATTCCGAACAATATTTTATATTATATTTTGGATGATTTTTAATGGATTCTTCACAAAAGCAAAAAGATTTGTTTCAGCTATTACAGTACTTGGTACCGTGATAGTAGACTTTGGAGTTTTCCGAAACATCTTGTTTCACTTTTTTTTCGGTTGTTACGTAACGATCACTATTCATGGCTGCTTCGTACTTGACTAAACACTTTAACGCAAATTTTCAGTGACTCGGCGTTAGAATGCTGCGAGAAAAAAATTGTATTAAATTATGATTACAGAAAACAAATAGGTTCTTACCTTTTTAATATTGTCTTATTTAAAATTGTTGAGTTTTTGCTGCGTATGAAATTGTATTAATTACAACAAAAAAGATAAAACAAGTGAGTTTTTGCTGCTTATGAAATTGTATTAATTAAAACAAAAATGATAAAACAAGTGAATATTTTTTTAACATAAATTTAAATTTTTTTATATCCCCAAGGCAATGTATCAGTAAATATATAATTAACCACTCTCTTGTCATCGAACGGTGTGAAAACAAATTTCCTTTGGTTTACCGTACAAACTTCATGGTTTTTACTACGAAACAGATGTTCGTTGGTATACATTTGAGTTTTATCAAACAGACAATTATAATAGTCTTCAAAAGTGATTGATTTTAATGACGAACCGGTAATACCTTTGGCTTTTTTAATACTTTCGACTTCTTTTTTGTTAGAAGATTTTTCTCGTTCTACATTTGAATAATATAATTTGATCGCGTACATTTTAGAATTTAATCCGATAAATTCGTGCATAATTCTACCGTTGTTTTCGTATTTCATCAATCCCAAAACTTTTTTATTAGCCAAAGGAATATTATAAATGTTATCGGGAGGATAATCAGAAGTGTCAAATTTATGAATATCTTCTCGAATACATTTATAAATATCGTCAACGTAAAAATTATATATCAACGAATCTGTATCTGAATACAAGAGTTTTACATCCTTGCCGAATTTTGGTATAATATAATGATAATGAAAAAACCAGCGTAAATGGGTTTATTAAATTTAATATTCAATGTCTTCATTTCAATGATAACCATATCATTGTCGAAAATTGATAAGCTATGAAAATTTGGTTTTCAAATATAACTCTTTGCACCGTATCATCCCGACCAACTTGTTACCAGTTTAACGTCTTTATATTTCCGAACGTTTTCCATAGTCTTGCCGAAAACGGCATTATTCAATAATTTAAAAAAAAAATTTCGAATTCGTTTTTGCTTTGCTGCCTCAAGTGTGTGTTTAGGTCAATGTAGGTTTTCAACCACGGAGATTGGTTAAATTGTAATATTTTATGAATTTTTGTAACGCGTAAACCTAACTGAAGTGAAATGTATTACGTAGTTTTTTTTATCAAACAATGTTGTCAATAATTTCGGCTGTTTTGTTTGACCCGTTGGTGGAATCAAACGTTCCGGACATAGAGGTAAATCTTTGTGGATGTCGTGAAGTATTGTAGGATATTCTATATCTACTTCAAGAAGATACCCAACGTCAGAATCGTCCGACGTGTTTATGATAGAATAAAACTCGTTATTATCGATCCATTGGAACCCACCCGTCGGTAGTGGTAGTCTTATTACCGTTCCATATAGGTTATTTACATCGAAATACATTAAATATGATGAAGGAATGTCTGGATTATAATCGTTTTCCATGTATTTATTGTTAGCCTTCCCGTATCGGTTACTGCATTGTGAAATTCCACCGCGTATTCCTTTTTCGATCATCATTAATTGATCGGTGTCCATAATTAATTCTAGTTGAACATTTGAAATAAGAAGACATGCATCGTATGCCAGACCCGGTGCCGTGTAATATTTCAAACATTCCAAGCCATACGTTTTTTGACATACATTTCTGAAATGTTCGAAAACGTTCGTCAATAATAGTACGTCTGTTTTCAAATACAATTCCATATATTCGCGTCAATTTTGAATTTTGAATGTTGCCCAAATATTCTTGGCATGCTCGTAATCTTTTATCGTAATACCGGATTTTCTAAGTTTACTATAGAAATTTTCAATCGGGGGCAATTCGACGTCGTTCAATTTTCTTTCTTTCTAGATATTCATACGGAAAGACTCCCTTTTTCTGTAACAACTGAAATTCTTCGAGATTTTCGCAAAAGCTTCTACTAATGTTTTTTTCGCTAGGATCTAAATAACAACTTAACTTATCCAAATTACTAGCCATAAATCTGAACGAATCCAAAAATCGAAAATTAACGCTCGTGTTTTCGATATATTTTGTAAACGATATATATTTTTCTTTGTTACGAGGTAGTAATATTACCGAACCGGGAATTTCAGTTGCCAAGTTTTTAATAAAAAAGTGTAGATCGTATCCTAAGTTATGAAATACCACGGGTATCATATGATCGTCCGTGTAATTAAGATTGCACGAAGAATGAGCAACTCCTCGATATTTTCCCGTGAAATGACAATGATCTTTTACTCTTAAATCATTTTCGGTAAATGGTTTTGAACAAATGTGACATGTGGTTGATGTATAAAATGATTCTTTTTCATGTTCAGTCAAAGGTGTCATTGAAACAGCATTGTAAAATATAGGATTTAATTGTACGGCTAGTTCTTGTAATTGTCGACAAAACCAGCTCATACAATCTTTACCCGTATACAAGTTAAA